GCCCTCGGATACGCAGAATATTGAACCCTTTATGCTTTTTTTATTCATAAGCAAAGGAAGATTCGAGCATTGTACTAACCAAGAAACCAAAGCAAATTCATCCCGACGGTTACAGGGATATGTGTGTATAATATTAGAGAAATTCAAAAACATTCAATACTTGAATGAAAAAGTGCTGCACTAAGAATTGGGAATCGTATATCGCCTTCTCTATTTCCCTAATTTTAGTTGCGAGGCTTTCAAAAAATTTGCGCGCACACCAATGATCAGTTAGGTAGGAATGAAACACGTTCGTAAGCCATGATTCTCATCGAAGAGTAAAAAAACTTACTAAACTAGAATAATTAACCAGTAATAAAAGCTGACGTGGTTCTTCAGAAGTGAAAAATAATACACACAGAAGACCGAAGTCAGCTCATTTTTCAAGATTTACTCACGTCTCCGGCGCGTTCCTTGAACTCTTCTTCCGTGAAGCACAAAAGCGTTGCTCCGTCGACAGCGAATTTCGTCAGGTCGACGGGCTTCATGTTGTACTGCTTGGCAGACAAGGAAATCCATTTGTGCACATCTTCCACGGTCCACATCGTCGGATCTGCGGAAAAGAACACAAGACAACGATTAATAAAACGAGGAATTCTTCAAGCTTCAACTTCAAAATTTCTTCAACAGATGAAAGTCTATCATAGCTTAAATCGGATTCAAAGAAGCAAGAAAAAGGGGTTAGGCTAGCATTTCCAAGTCATGAAGGGAACCTCCGAAACTCAGAAGCTATCCTTGTTCAGTAGACACAATAAACCATATATTTAGCTGTTAACTATACTGTATAGCTTAAGGCTCCACCAAAATATCGCAAGCCCCAAATTATAATAAGCCGAGATGCATAAAATAAAGAAGGTAACTATTAAAAATCACCAACAACAAGAGGTAGGCACAGGTGTGCTCGGGAAATATTATCTTTTAAAAAGTTTATTTTTCATATAACTTAAGAAAGGAACACCTGAAGATCATCCAACTCTGCTGAAACACAGCTTGAATTTCTTTGACGCATAAATTGTAAGCTTCTGTAAGAGCAGCTTGAAAAACTAACACAATCAATTCGAGGGAAGGTTTTTCTATCATTCGCGGAATTCCATGAAAGATAGAAGTACAGTACTGTACTGTACTCGACGTGGAATTCAGGGACAGTTACGAACAGACATGGAATACCTGGGCTCGTGTCGGAGAGTTTTCGTCTGGAGCTAAATTCTCTTCAATTTAAATTTTTTCTTCCCTTCCCGAACAACCCTTATCAGTAAGTTTGAACAGTTCCCAATGAAACATACTTCATTTTATGCTTCACACAACAATTCTAGTCCACGGATTGTGTTCGTTCAGAGAGTCCTCGCATGTAAGTCATCTTGAAGCTTACATCAGGTTATTCTTCCGTAAGTTAAAAAAACCTTTGAAACATTCCCTATCCCAATTGTTTACACATTACCCAGGAAAAAAAAACGTAATTTGAACATCAAACGACGCAAAAAACCCAAGGAAATTGAAGTACAGTACTTTAGTAATCGAGTTTCCCATCATTGAGGACAATCGCTAAAACAACAGCTCCGAGGCAAAATGCGCATGAAAAGACGTACAAGTGACAGTCCTAGGAATGATGATCTCTCAACAAGTTCTTTCTCTAACGAACAGATGCTGTACCACGTAACTTCATCCAATGATTGCACCATTTGTTTCTCCGCAGTCGAACTTTCTACGAAACAACAACCCCAATCCCTGTCTTTCTCAGGAAAGGCGAGTAATCTAGAATCAATCCCACGCTCAAACCACTGGACACCGGCATCATCGTTACTTGATTACCGAAGCCCACGGAGAACCACGACTTGGAGAAAGAAATAATTATCGCGATGGGACGCGGAAGCCGCCCGTGACGCAGAAACGAAGTCAACAATATAAAATCCCGGCAGGGTTTCTCTATACGTCGTCGATGCCTGGGTTTTCTCGAGGCCGAAGCTGATGTCGATAAACGAGACTATGATCGTGACTAACCATCTAGGGGGCAACGCCAAGAAAGAAAATAAAAACGGAGATAAGAATTCTCAACAGAAGATACGAAGGATAATTCACAGGCTTGAATGGAAAAAAGGTGAGACCAGTTTGTTTTTGTCTCGGACACGAGGGAAACCGGCTAGGCAATTACAATGAAACTCGGTAATGCTTCAACATTAATAACCATGAAATACTTCACGTGACAACCCGACATCATCCATTATATAATAACTCCGAGTCGAACTTCAAAATACCAGCAAAAATAGAGTCGGGGAGATTTCGGTTAGAGAAACGAGCAATTTTCTTGGGGTAGAGAAAGAAGGCATTACAAGAAATCGTAATTGGCGATATTCTGGGCCTTGGATTGCTCATTAAACGAGTTGAAAATATACTGAAGTTGGAGGCAAGGGATCATTTGCCCAATTAGTCTTTCATTCCCTTTAAAAATGCGTGAAGTTTTTAAATTACATTTTCATTGCCTTTTTCTTCCCTGTGCCAATAAATCAACAGCCAAACAGCATCCAGAAAATTCGAGTTATGATGAGGTATCAGGGGAAAGCATTTGAGTTAAGGAGGCTTTCAATGCATTGTTCCTCACAGAATTCAGACAGGAACTTGACAAATTCGACAAGGAGTCATTCGACTTGAGCCGTTTCGAGTTATCGAAGCTTTAATTTGAAAACGACGAATACAGTACACATAATATCATCCCAATTGTGAAACGCAAGGTTGGAATGACACAAGATAGAAGAAATTCTCTTACTTTTCGGTAAAAAAAAACTCCTCTGGAACATCAACAGAATAACATGGAAATAGAAAGCGAAATTTAAAAGAAAAAAAGGAACTTGGACACGATTGGCACTTGTGAAAAGTTCTCAGACTTGAAGCTGTTCTTATTCGAAACGAACCCTTTCCATTCGATGATAATCAAAAACTACTTTGAGTTGCATTGGTTTTTTGACAGTTTTTTTCTCTCTCATAATTTTGAAGCGTTATTTCAAACCGATAAAATGAAAACCGAACACCTCTCGATTCGAAGATAATCAAAAACTACTTTGAGTTGCATTTGTTTTTCAGACAGTTTTGCTTCTCTCATTATTTTGAAGCGCACTTTCCTTGTCAAACCGATAAAGGAAAACCAAAACCCTCGAGTGAAAGGGGAAATCATTCGCCGCTCTACAGGTACCTTTCACTCTTCAGGGAAATATATGTTCCCCTTTACCAGAATAGATTGAAAAGAAAATCGGCGCAAGAATAAGGAATTACTCAAGGCTCGATTGAACAGCAGTACCCCTTTCTTGATCATACACTGCTCAAGCTTCTGAACTTTCTTCTTCCATTTATGCCATGGGAAATACTGCAAACGTTTCGGGATTCATTTTCAAGTTCGGAATCAATCAACTGCGCCTGTCACGACAGAATTCAATGTCGTCTTCATATTGCTTTTTTTCGTGTGTATTAAAATCTTTCCGAAAAGTCAGATAATGTTGGATACTTTTATGAATACGAATACAGAGCCACTAGTAACATCAGATTCAGAGCCTTCGGGAAACTAAGGATACATTTTGAAAATGCACGCAGTAAATACCGCAGTACTTTATAACTCTGACACGTCAACTTCAATTGCCCCAAATAACGATCAAATCAGGATACCTGTGTCAAGAAGACTTGACATTCAATGCATTTGCTTCGAAACCGGAATGGCTTGGAATACCGTATCATTTTTAAAGTTCTCGAGGCATTGGAATAACTCCGGAAAATAAGTGAAAAAACTGCTGACCAGTCGTTAGTGCCTTAGGACGAGTGGCATAAATAAACCGCAGTAGCGCCAGGGAAAACAACACAGGCGAGGCATAACGATGGAAAAAAGTAACTAGTTGCCGGGGCATGGTCGTCCTGAAAGAGATCCCTCTTCTCCCACGCTTAAAAAATTATTTTAAAAAAAGAGCAACTACACAAACGACTTTGGCGTAGAAGGAAAAAGAGTAGCAAAAGCTATTCCCAAGCGTGTCCCGGCGAAAAGGGCATTCCAAAAAATTTTTTCCAGGAAGCCGACTTCTGCCTAAAACCATATCGATACTGCACTGTTAGCAACGTTGTTTCCCCATCGCTTACAAAATGAACCAGAAACCTTATGGCGTGGGTTCAAAATACTGTACACTAAACATATCACACCGATTGCGGAAAAAGCGACCCGCACGCCTAGAACATTTTTCAACGAATTATGCAAAACAAATGCAACATAATCGAAGTTCTTCCAGAGAGGAGGAACACAGAGAAACTTGGGACGCTCCTCTGACCAAAAGTGAATCCTTCTTTTAGGAAAGCTTGGTGTACACGAGCGTTTTTTGCATCGAAGTGTGCAAATACTAAAAAAATCGCTTTACCAAGAATATTGCTGTAAAAAACTCAACGGAGTAAAATTCATGTTTCCCAAGAATTAAGCTTAGCTAGGATCAGTTTTCAAAATTTTTCAAACACACATTTCATGTCCGATTACCTGACAATTTAAATTATTCCTGCATCTAAAGACACTGCAGAACGACTTTCTGATTTGGATTCACCAGGATTCCTCATGAAATTGATCGCACGTCTTGAAGAACTGTACTTTCAAAATAAATTCATTCGCACTAATCTTCGAATTCTGAAAAATTTACGATACGACAGAAGCATAATTTTAAAATAAAACGCATTTTCTTCAACAAATAAACAAATCACCATGAGAGAAGATCCAAAAATAAACAAGAAGGCATTGCATCACATTTATCGGGCTTCAATCAATGCTTGCAGTAGTAACTTTAGATAAAAAGGAGCTTCCTCGTGAACCAACGGAATTCAGGTACAAAACATTCGTGTTGTTTACAGCGGACGAATGATTTGGCTCATCCGCGTTATTCAACATTAAAATACACTGTCTGACGCATGTTTTTAAACCGCACATTTCCGCCTTGATGCTCCAGACATTTTAAACAACAGCTCCGAGGCAAAATGCGCATGAAAAGACGTACAAGTGACAGTCCTAGGAATGATGATCTCTCAACAAGTTCTTTCTCTAACGAACAGATGCTGTACCACGTAACTTCATCCAATGATTGCACCATTTGTTTCTCCGCAGTCGAACTTTCTACGAAACAACAACCCCAATCCCTGTCTTTCTCAGGAAAGGCGAGTAATCTAGAATCAATCCCACGCTCAAACCACTGGACACCGGCATCATCGTTTGAACTAATGGCTTCGGGTGCCTCTTGGTGCTGAACCTCTTTCTTTATTAATAGCGCTACCCTGCGCCTTCGGCGGGCACTGCGTCTTTGCTTCAGTTGTTATATTTTAGGGCCGTCCCAAAGAGATTACGTCGTCGATGCCTGGGTTTTCTCGAGGCCGAAGCTGATGTCGATAAACGAGACTATGATCGTGACTAACCATCTAGGGGGCAACGCCAAGAAAGAAAATAAAAACGGAGATAAGAATTCTCAACAGAAGATACGAAGGATAATTCACAGGCTTGAATGGAAAAAAGGTGAGACCAGTTTGTTTTTGTCTCGGACACGAGGGAAACCGGCTAGGCAATTACAATGAAACTCGGTAATGCTTCAACATTAATAACCATGAAATACTTCACGTGACAACCCGACATCATCCATTATATAATAACTCCGAGTCGAACTTCAAAATACCAGCAAAAATAGAGTCGGGGAGATTTCGGTTAGAGAAACGAGCAATTTTCTTGGGGTAGAGAAAGAAGGCATTACAAGAAATCGTAATTGGCGATATTCTGGGCCTTGGATTGCTCATTAAACGAGTTGAAAATATACTGAAGTTGGAGGCAAGGGATCATTTGCCCAATTAGTCTTTCATTCCCTTTAAAAATGCGTGAAGTTTTTAAATTACATTTTCATTGCCTTTTTCTTCCCTGTGCCAATAAATCTTGTCGGTTTGTCGTAGGTCTTTTAAGCTCAATACTACTCCATAGTCCCCTTTCGTAAACTCAATTCCTCCGAAAGTTACGTAACAAGGAGTGTCTTAAGTCTGTCCTTGAACTGTTTAAGCTGTTCGAGTCATTCGACTTGAGCCGTTTCGAGTTATCGAAGCTTTAATTTGAAAACGACGAATACAGTACACATAATATCATCCCAATTGTGAAACGCAAGGTTGGAATGACACAAGATAGAAGAAATTCTCTTATTTTTCGGTAAAAAAAAACTCCTCTGGAACATCAACAGAATAACATGGAAATAGAAAGCGAAATTTAAAAGAAAAAAAGGAACTTGGACACGATTGGCACTTGTGAAAAGTTCTCAGACTTGAAGCTGTTCTTATTCGAAACGAACCCTTTCCATTCGATGATAATCAAAAACTACTTTGAGTTGCATTGGTTTTTTGACAGTTTTTTTCTCTCTCATAATTTTGAAGCGTTATTTCAAACCGATAAAATGAAAACCGAACACCTCTCGATTCGAAGATAATCAAAAACTACTTTGAGTTGCATTTGTTTTTCAGACAGTTTTGCTTCTGTCATTATTTTGAAGCGCACTTTCCTTGTCAAACCGATAAAGGAAAACCAAAACCCTCGAGTGAAAGGGGAAATCATTCGCCGCTCTACAGGTACCTTTCACTCTTCAGGGAAATATATGTTCCCCTTTACCAGAATAGATTGAAAAGAAAATCGGCGCAAGAATAAGGA